ACGACAAAAGAGGGTGTTGAGGGTGGAGGGGGAGTCGATCATGGGAGACTACCACACAAGTACAGTAAACAAATGCAGATTTAAGTCCTTGCCTTTGGCATTGATTAAGAGTTTCTAGAAATAAGGTTATCCCCCTCTTCCTGGTACAGAGAGGGAGACAACTTTACAGATGGAGATTTCCCTTACAAATGTAAATGTTTCCCAACAAAGGGCAAGCAAACTCCGCTCCTCGGAGTTGCTTTTATTAAAAGTAACCAGCCCCAAACAATCCTCATGCCAAAGAGACGTATCTTGCGGTGGCCAATTCCAGGCCCCCACATGATCATCCTGGGTGTTCAGGCACCCCACTCAAGGTATTCACCATGCAATGAAGAGCACTGTCTCATCCAATTCATTTTGGGTAAGTGGAGGTCAATTTGGAGGGCTTCTAGTGCTTCCTCACCTTTATTGAGATCCAGGGCTGTGTCAAACTTCTTAATACTACCCAGAACCAGAAGCAAATGGTTGAGCACAAACTAAGCATGAGTAATTACTTATTTAAATAAGTTTGAAACAATTTACCACCTATATAAGCCAGTTAGCTGTCATTTCAATAACCACAGACAGACATTTTCAGATTTTCTAAATATATTTTCTAAGCCCCAACAGTATACTTGTTAGTGGTCCTTCTAAGGGACTGGTATCCAAGCTGATAAACTGTCCCAAGTTTCAAGGATACAGAATCTAAACTCTTCTACCCTTTTGATCTCCATGTTAACGCTCAACGTCACTTTCATCTCAGCTTCAGGGAAGGGGTTCAGGGCTAGTATCCTTGGGATCTATTGGTTTTCTGAACATGTAATTTTTACCTTTTTTTGATTTTTTAAAATCATACATTGCACAGATTTTAGCTGAGGGCTGGTCAAAGGACTTGTTGCCTCAGTACAAGATCGCTGTCAAAGATGTCTCTCTCTCCCCTGCACAATTTTTAAAGCTACTATCCAACAGTCAGCTTAGAAGGCTTGAAAAAAACCCAATGTATCAAAAATTAATCTGGCAAAGCACAAAATATCTCAATATATAAATACTTTTGTAAATAAGAAAGTGCTAATTCTACTCATCTCACTTTAGTTCTCTTAACTCCTTGTCTTCTTCAGGGTGTCATTAGGGGGCAATTACACAGCTTCACCGTACTCACCTTGAATGTTAAAATGCCTGACTAACTTAGACAACTTGCTAATGTCCAGAATTTTCTAATGTTCAAAACTACACCTGTCTAAACTCAAACTAAATCTACCAATGTTCATCTCTTAAGCACTTCCTGCATCAATTAATACTGTTTAATAGTCCTCCTAAATCTCCATTTTAAGGAATCTCCTAGATTACTTTTTCAACCCAAACTGCTATCTATTTACTCCAGCCCAATACACAAAGTATATATATTATAACATCTATTTCAACAGAGCAGAGGTGCTTGTCATTTTGAAAAAGACAATTACTTGCTTATCAGTTCCTGCCATCAGTGGCTGGCTGGTGCCACCCTGGTTTTATAAGCAAGATAAAATTGAGGCAGTAAAGTCAGGAAGCATTTTCTGGATTCTCTATAGATTTTATAGGTCAGTATATATTCAATAGCTATTTCTGCTTTGTCATTTCTTTTTCTCTGGTGATTTGGTTCTTGACCTTTTGTTTTTCTCATTAACATCTCTATTAGGGGGAGGGTAGGAGGAAGGGAAGGAGATAACATTCTAATGAGGTCATCTGGCTTGTCACTCATTGGCTAAAGCAGAGTCCCAAGAGGCCAGTTCTGCCAACTGGATTCTCTCCACGGTCCAGTTAACTCTGGACAGATGCAAGTTCACTCTAGCACTACACACTGCGACCCCATTTCCTGCCAGATGTTCTGCTCTTGTGGCCCATGGTCACGAGGGGGGAACCAGGCCAGAGAGTAGAGATGACTCAGGAAAACCCTGCCTCTCCCTGAGAAAAACAAGTGGCTATATAAGTCATCCTTATCCCACAAATTGTTGAGCTTTTCACTTGCTAAATTCTTGGACTAAAGGTCTGTCAGGAAACAAGGCTGTAACTACTAATTAAAACAGGTTTTAAGATCCTTTGTTAATTTTTCTCCCCTTCATTCTCTACAACTCCATTTAAACCAAAATCAAATGTGAGCTTTTCTAGAGCCCACAAGTTAAGAAAGGTTTTTACATTTTTAAATGGCTGAAAAAAATCAAGAGTAGTATTTCATGACACATGAAAAATACATGAAATTCACATTTCAGTGGCCATAAATAAAGCTTTATTGGAACAGCCACCCCAGTTGCTTACGTATTTCCTGTGGCTGCTTTTGTCCTACAAGGGCAGGAACGAGTCATTGTAACTGAAACTGTACGGCCCCCAACGATGAAAACATTTGCTATCTGTCCTTTTACAGGAAGTTTGCTGCTCCTGTTTTGCCTCCTACACAAACATTTCTGGTATCCTTACCACCTTAGAATTCATGTGCTTGCTTTATGACTTTTCATTTGTGCAGATTATTTTGTTTCTCTTAAAATCATAAGTCAGGGGTGCCACCTCCATAAAAATGGTTTTTACTTTCCATTTTTATAAAGTACCACGTGATACTCAAGATTTTCAAAAATCATAAAAACAAATGATGCTTCATCTCTTCCAGATAGTTAATGTAGTTTAATGTGTGTGCACACAGACTTGAGATACTACTACTAAATTTTTTCACTCTTTCTCAAATGCTAAAATAAATGAATTTTGCCTCTGACTCATACTTGAAATGCTTTCAGTGAAAGAGGAACTAAGCCAATTTCTACTGTATAAAATCAAAATACATGGGCTTGGTTACCATTATTTTCCAGAAGAATAATTTGAAGCAACTGAACACTCCCTTTTTATTTATTTTATTATTATTATTATTATTATTATTATTTTGGTGAGGAAGATTTGCCCTGAGCTAACATTTGTTGCCAACCTTCCTCTTTTTTTTTCTTTTTTGCTTGAGGAAGATTAGCCCTGAGCTAACATCTGTGCCAGTCTTCCTCTATTTTTTTTTAAAGATTTTATTTTTTTCCTTTTTCTCCCCAAAGCCCCCTGGTACATAGTTGTATATTCTTCGTTGTGGGTCCTTCTAGTTGTGGCATGTGGGATGCTGCCTCAGTGTGGTTTGATGAGCAGTGCCATGTCCACGCCCAGGATTCGAACCAACGAAACACTGGGCTGCCTGCAGCAGAGCGCACGAACTTAACCACTCGGCCACGGGGCCAGCCCCTCTTCCTCTATTTTGTATGTGGGATGCGTCCACAGCATGGCTGACGAGTGGAGTAGGTCCGCGCTAGGGTCCAAACTCCTGAACCCAGCCCGCCAAAATGGAGTGTGTGGAACTTTAACTACTCAGCCACAGGGTCGGCCCCCAAACACCCCTTTTGGAGAATACACAAAATGCTTTAAATAGCTCCAGGTGTGGCCTTCAAACCCTGAGCAGATGCTGTCAGTAAGCCAGCTGTCTGGGGCAGGGAGTGTATTGCCCAAGGAGGTGGTCATGTTAGGGCCCCAGGAAGTTCACTGCTGAGGAGGCTAGTCTGCAGGAGGCGGGTAGAGAGCACCCAACCCCAGAGGGTCTCAGGAACGAGATTTTTGGCCTGCACCTTGGAGCAGTCAAATGCTCTCCCCGCCTCCTGCCCCCCCCCCCCCCACCCCGCCATCACTGTCCATGAGGTGCAGGGGAGAGAGGGGAGGCTGGCTCACGTAGTTTAGGTTTTCTGGAAGCCAAACCTGAGAGGCACATTTGCATACAAGGAGTTTATCTGGGAGGCAATCCCAGGAAACAACAGTCCAGGAATCAGGAAAGTTAGGAAAGGAAAGGCAGATGATGAAGGGTATGTTATCAAGTACACTCCCATTATGGGTATGAACATCCCATGGGGAAACTCTAAGAAAAGGCCTCACACACAGGCCTCAGAGTTAGCTCACCTGAGCAGTGAGGAAGTTTCTGGGAATATGAATTCCCCAGCACTTTCCTCCTGTCCCGACTCAGGCAGAGCAGCCTTCCCAGGTTTCAAAGAAAGCCTCAGGCCAAGAGCCACAGATAGTACTGGCAGTTGGAAGTTGGTCAATGGGCACTGTGGAGCTAAGGCCCCAGGGGTGTGGGCAGGGCACCAACAGCATCTGCTACAGCAGTTTTCTGTCAATCCTACAGAGAGACTTTTCCTGGCACCCAGGCTGCTTCTAGGAGGATGGGGAGGGTGGCAGGAGATGCAGGCAGGAGCCAGCCTGCTCTACAAGCTGCACTCTCCCGCCACTCCTGGCTCTTCTCCTGCTGGGTTGGCTAAAGGGCTTAGACTAGAAAAGACAAGTTAGATGGCGTGGTCCCTGCTTTGTCATCATACAAAGAATATGGGGTGGGGTGTGGGGAGTAGGATTGAGGAGACCTTGGTTCTGGTCCCAGATGGACTGACGCATCATCCTGGCAAGGTAAATAACTTTCTTTAGACTTTACTTTCCTCATCTATAAAATTAGAGTTGGTTGGGTCTCAACATTCCTTCTAGGCTAGACTCAACAAGCGACACATATACCACCCTTGGAATAAGAGAAAACCAACAATGAGATTTCTCAGAGGCACCTGGGACTGAAAATTCACCTCCTTCCACCTCCTAGGAGATAGATTCCTGCTCCCCTTAGAGCTCTATCCCTTGATCAGTATGGAGGCTGTCAATATCTCAGCAAGGTATCAACCCACATAATCGTGCCTGGACCTTACAGCTGCACACAGTAAAATGTCTGCTGTCATGACTGGTGTTCATATTCTCTTCCCTCACTGAACATGCTGGAACCTGAGAGGTGCCCTGCCCTGGGCATACCAGTATGTACTAGGATGTAGAAACAGCTGGTGTCGGACAGGAGGTGGCGTAGTATTCAAGTACATGAGAGGTGTCATCTTACCTTTTCTCTTCTTCTGTAGTTTAAATTTTACTGCAATTGAACCCAAGGCAACATACTCATCACTTACCAATATACACATTTCCAGATATGGTATAAATGAAGCTTGTCCACCCTGAAAAGGGACCAGTGACATTAAAAAGTTAGTGTCCAGAATGCCAAAAGGAACAAAGACATAACAATATATTTTAAAAATATCTCTATATATGAAATACAAATATATAAATTTATATGACAGATATAAAAGATATATTTGGAGATTAAATCCTTTATTTTCTTTTAGATACATATTTAAAATTTAAGTTCTGTAATGTGAGCTGTTTAAAACATACACATACACACCCATAAACCTAAATGACTTGGCCCCAAATGTTTTTGAGCCACCCAAGCAGAGAGTGTACAATTCACTTGGCTATACACCTACAGGCCAACAGCTGTACTGACAAATAAAGTGTTTCTTCCAGTTCTAACATCATGCTAATACAACTGTGACACACACACACACCAGTGTGGCTAATCTTCAGTTTCTTGTGCCTCTAGGTAGTTTTAAGTGTGAAGAGAATGCTAGAAATATGCTTTTCTTTACTAAGTTACATTTTACCCAGTGAACTCATTCCTTTTTATCTATCCTAAAATGGAGCATGAGTTGCAGGGATGCAGGGATGCATAATCTTTGGGGTATAAATGGGCTTCGGATGGCCTGTGCACTCCCTGGGATTGTCCACACAATTTTTCAAGTGTGTACACTTTTCTGTGAAGAGGGTACACAGCATACACCAGATTCCTACTGGGACCCGTGGGGCCAAGAACTCAGAACCATGGACCACCTGCCGTTTGTTCTTTCAGCACCGGCACTGGATTTTCATGGGTATTTATGTGTTGTACCTATGGCCCAGAAGATGCTGTGGTGACACTGAGAGACATGAACCTAGAAATGACAAGCTCAAAATGGAATTAGACCATCATTCTGTGTACCTTCCATGGAAAAGAGAGAAGATCTGGGAAGGGACTGCAGGGCAGAAAGGCAGCGCACAGACTGGAGTCTGTGTGCGAGTCAACGTGGTGACAGAGTAAACAAAACAAAGGCAGATGTGGAAGGATCATGGAGGACAAAATATACTCTAGGGATGTGGATGTGATGGCAGGTGAGTTGAAACATGCAAGAGAGGTACAAAAGAAAAGGTATAACTGAGAAAACTTAACATAAATTGAGTCTGGTTAACAAAATCCGAAAGATGGCAAAAACAGACACTTGGGTGGATGCCAAAGGATATTCTTTCACCCTCCTATTTCAGTTTTCCCTCTGAGATTTTACTAGAACAAGTTTAAGGCCTCTGGTAGTAAGGCTGTTTGCTCATAGCTCACTTACACATTTTCTCCCTTATTGACCCACTCGCTCAGTCTACTATCATGTAGTGAACATTTGCCACTCATGTGCATGCACTGTGGGTGGAGACATGAAGATGAATAAGGCACAGCCAGGTTTTCAAGCTGTGCAACTTTGGGGAGGGAGGTTTGTGGTGGATGCTGAAAACCCACGCTAACAATTCACAGCCACGATTCCCCCTGTCTTATCCATCTGGATGGGCTGCTCCACTAGAGCACTTCTCTCTCTGCCCTCGAATGGGTGGGAAGCTTCCTGAGTCCTACTTAGCCTGATTTATAATAAAACTCTGCAACAAAACCCCTTTCTTCATTGCTTTTTAAAAAAATTGTTTAAATTTCTTTTTCAAAGTGCAAGTGTCTTTACTGATTTTTTCTCATCACAAAAAAGTAAGACACATTAACTTAAAAGATATTTTAAGACTGTAAAAGTGTGTGATGTCGTCTAAACTGAAAAACTTTCTGCAATCTTCACACTCACCCTGAGATAAATATTGTTAGCAATTTGGTATTTGGGCTTTCAGTTTCTTCTTTCTTTTATGTGCCGTAAAATTTGCTTAAAAACTACAACAAACTCAATGTTCTGTTTTGGACACCTTTCCATGTCAAAACAGAGACATAACTCATCCTTGGGAAAGACTGCAAAGCATTCCATTGTAAGAACGTGTCCTAATTTATATAACCGATCCCCTCTTCACAGTTGCAAGGCATTAAAAAATTAATGGTTTCCAAGTGCGACAGAACCTCAAGGCTCTCAGTTGCTCAACTGGGTTTTTAACTGGGATTATTCTGACTGTTCTAATCTCATTTCTCTTCCATGCCCTTTGCTTCATTCCTACTCACCCTCCAAGCAGAGAGCCAATCCACACATAATTGCCTCTGTCTGTTTTCTTTCCATTTTTATCTTTTTCACACAATCCAGAAGGATCAAACATTTGCTTAAAGGAATGGCCAAGTCAATTTATTCAGTCCATTCACCTATTTTTGCGCTGTGAAAAAGTCTTCTATTAGGATATAGATTCCATCTTTACCAGGAATAACACAATTCATATTACTGGTTGGAAGGCACAGAGGGTTAGAGGGAATGGAATAGGAACAGGGAGCAATTTCCTTTTTTTCTTCTTTTTAACATGTTGTCCATCTGCACTTGCTTCTATTAACTAATTTCCATTAAGCATTGTTTCTTAAAGCTACAGCAAAACAAGAGCCAAACTGTGTGAATGCCTACTATATGTTTAAGAACCATCATATGTTATTAGAATTCCTTCTCTGCTAAGAGCAGAATTGCATCAGCAAAGAGCTCTCTTGTGAGATTTTCAGGTGCTTCTCATCTTTCTAGCTTCCCCCACCTCTCCTCCCACTTTTGCGTCCTGCCCCAGGAATTGATACCCCCCCCCACCCCCGCTCAGGAGGTGACAGACCCTATACTTTCCTTTCTTCTACAAATGTGGTTTCCAAGCTACTGGCTCTTTGCAGCTGGGAAGTTCTTCCCTTCCCTGGGGCAATGACAAAGAAAATGAGTCGGGCTAGGGGTCACATTTTACTTCTGGTCCTGTAGGAAGGTTTGATCAGCAAGACATTTAAGTCAGACCTCCTTTAGTCAAGCATAAAAAATGTAAAACTTGTCTTTTAAATATGTAAATCATTTTCTGCGGCATTTGCTCTCATTTCCAGGGAGGTTCCCAATTCTTGCAAATGTCCCTAGTGAGAGCTTTTCTTGGCCTACATTTCCTGCCTTAACCCAGCTCATTTTTCTCCTGCCTCAGTCTTTGAGTTCATTATTTCAATGAACTTTACAACTACTCCTTACACATGTATGTGTAAAGGAAGTAGAAAAATACGGTCTGGTAACACACCAAGTCCCCGACAAAGGTCAGCTTTGGAGAGGGAAGGAGAGCAGGGAATGGGGCCAAGGAGAGAATGAACCGCTCTCCAAGCTCTGGGTCACACTGGTTGCCAGACCCCAAAGCGGTGCTGCTTCCTAAGAGCCCTCCCTGGATGTCCCTGCGCTTAGCTTGGGCGGGCAGCTCCCATCGACCTGAGGCCTAGCCTCCTAGGACAGGAGGCAGACACACCTGGTCCTCTCCTCTCCCTCCTCATTCCACCAAATTGTTTTCTAATTTTTATTTTGAAATAATTTCAGACATATAGAAGAGTTACAAAAATACTACAGAGAATTACCATACAGCATTCACCCAGATTCTCCAAAAGGTAACATGTTGTCACATATGCTTTATAATTCTTCTCTCTAGAAATATATATCATTCTTTTTTTCTGAAATATTTGAGAGTAAACTGGCAGACATGATACCCTTTTACCTTGAAATAATTCTCAGTATGTATTTCCTAAACACAAGGATATTTTCCTATATAACCATGGTGTACTTATGAAAATTATAAAATTGATACAGTATCAATGAAAAAATTATGACCATTAATACAACACTATTATCTATGTATAGATATTCGAATTGTGCCAGTTGTCTCAGTAATGTCTTTTATGGCAAAAAGAAAAAAATTTCCAGGCCAGGATCTAATCCGGGTTGACATGCTGCATTTAGTTGTCATGTTTAATCTCCTTTCATCTGAAACAGTTCCTCAGTCTTTTTCTTTCATTAAAAGTACAGACCGGTTATTTTGTAGAATGCCCCTCAGTTTGGGTTTGTCCAATGTTTCCTCATCATTAGACCAAAGTGTTTGTTAATCCCTTCCCTCTCAACTTTAGAGAAGAGATTGTATTTATTTTCAATATTTTAAATTTTTAATTCATAAGAGCACAAAGGATGAAATAATGAACATATATGTTGCCATATTTATTTTATATCTCTTTTCTTTTACAGATGAAATCATATAAGTGAGAGAAATATCCCCTAACTGGTTGCATCCCATCCATTTTCTACACACAGCACATGTGACCTTTCTAGAAGCCCCACTTAAAACCTGGCAATGGCTCCCTGGTCTCCCAGGACAAGCCTATAGCCCTGACCCTAGCAGACAGACTCTTCTCAGTCTGGTCCTACACTTCTTCTCCAGTATCGCTCCTTCTCTGCCTGTCCCACCTCCATAGTCAATTCCAACCCAGCAACCCCTCCGGGGAAAGGAGGAAGGGTAGGGCAGCAGCAAACCTTACAGGGGCCTTTGGTGCCATGGAAAACAAACCAACTAAGGGACAATAAAAGAGCAATAAAACGAACACACACAGTTACAGGCAAAAAGTGCAGGTTTAAAAATCAGCAAATGACCCCCAGGCAGATCTAGGACCAGACTCCTAACCTCTTTGAGCCCGTCTCCTGGTTTGTAAAACAAGGAAATAATATGTATAACACAGGGCTGTTGTGATGGTCAAGTGGCGCTGTATATCTGTGCCTACATATATATATGTACATGGGCATGAGTGTGTGTTACAGGTTTTTAACATTATCTACACAATGCCTGGTACTTAGCAGGCATTTACCAAATGTCAGTTCCCTTTCCTGCCCCTTCCTTCTCTTTCCACTCTCCTCAGACCTTATGTAGGTCAGGGTTGCAGTGGCTGCTATCTATGCTTCTGATGAGCTGAGACCCAGGCCAAAGAAGGGTCATCACCACAGAGATGACCTCATGCTCCCCAGTGCACCCCTCTCCAGTCCAAGCCAACTGGTCTCCTCGTGGACTGCACTATGCACTGAGCAAAGCTCAGCAGGGTCTCTGTTTCCCAAAATGTAGAGAACGGATCCTTGCTGTCCCTGTCAAG